ATCACTGCGGTTAAGCAATCACAATATACTCTCCTGCAGTGTGTTTTCTACCCAGCAGCGCAAAACAGGATGAGATTGAGTATTTAATTTTTGTAAAGATGCTAACTTATGAGCCTGATGATACAAACAAAGCACGATGGTGTGAAAATGTATTGGTATGGTATAGATTGCTTCTTTTGCTGCTTTCCATGTCATGGAACCAGTTTTAAAGCATAATTAATAAAAATGTATGTTTTCTAATGGGCAAGTCAGTACTTACTGAATAGTTGTCTTACACTCAGAGTTGTGGGGTCACGTTTATCTTCTTTCTTACATATGGACAAGACACTTCACCTCAAGTTGCCAATGAATGTGTGCATGAGATTGTATTCCCCCAAATAACCCAGTGAGGACCATTATTCACCAGTGGAGAAAACAAGCAGCAGAGGCAAACCTTTGAAGGGACAGCCATCCAACCAAAAGTAAAAGAAGCAAGAACAAGACATAAAACACTGCATTCCTTCTTTGCCTCAATTAAAGGCAGAGTTCATTATTCAACAACGTTCAGACGGGATAAAAATGGCGTCCACAGGGAGAGTTTTATGGGAGAAAAAACACTGAACAACAAAAATTTAAGTCTTAAATTTTCCTAAAAACGTCTTTATAATCTTTCAACATTTTGAACAATATTCCGTGAACTCACCAAGCAAGAGCAGAAGGTTTGGAAGGTGTACCACTGGCGTGACCAAAAACCGATTCAGCATTTCAGAAATTCATTCTCACAGTCAGACATGGTGGTGGCAGTGTGATGGTGTGGGGCTGCTTCGAAGATCAGCACAACGTGTCGTAGTTGATCGAACCATGAAATCTGACCCCTACAGGAAAATCCTGGAAAATGTCAGGCCAATAGTTTATGAATTTTAGGTCACTTCACTCAGCTAATACATCAGGAAATCTCCTGCTGGTGTTTTTTCTTGTTCTTTTTACCTGCAGTCTGCTGGAGAGCTTCTGCTGACAATCCACCTGCTTCTACCTTTAAGAGCTCTACCCAGTCGCAGCTCCGCCAGCTGGCTGTTTGATGATTACACTGAATTCCCTATTATGAAGATCAGTGGTAAACACTATAAATGATGTGAGACTGAACTCAGACACAGCAGAGATGTCATAAAAATGGACCTTTTATTAAAAAATATATATGGCAAAGAAACACTTTGCAATGAAAAAATCTGACAATGAGTCAAGAAGAAAAAACAAAAGATGAAGATGATCAATGAAGAGCGGGGACTCTGTGTTTGTGTGTGTTTCTGCGGTAAGCGTATTGGGGGCAAATAACTGTACATGACTGATGGGTGTGACAGGGGCTGATGTCTGCTAAGGGCCTGAGTGGCCCTGGTAATAAAGATACCGTGGTGCGAATAGGCTTCATTCGCTCCTAAATGTTCCATAATCTCTCTGTAAATGATATCTTCGGTTCTCTGTAAGGAGAATGAAAAATGCAAACTGTTTGTGGAAGTGCTTCTGGGGGTTTTACGATCACATCAACCGAGAACAAACAGCTGAACTTAAAATTGTAAGCGTTTCATTTATATTCTGGTAATTTTCATATAGAACATTTCAGACGTGATGGACTGTGTGCACTTAGTTTGTGCTAAATTACAGGCTGCTGTAGCTCTCAGTTTCCATCAGGCTGAAATTGTGTCCTCTGTGAGCAGCTATTTTTATGTGCTGCTGCATCGTCAGGTTGATCCAAATATGAAATAATTTCCTGGAGACGTTTCTTCTGTTATCAACGGTACTTTTCTCAGGTAATTTTAACAGGGACGCCAATAAGTTTTGTACTCCGCTCTCAGCAGGTCCTTTTTTTTCTTAAATGAATGCCTTTCTGGTTGGCAAGCAATTTATGGAGCTCTTAGATGGAAAAAAAAATTGCTCCCTATTTCTCCACTGGGAGCCCAGCGTGAAGCATTCCCTTATCTTTTTCTGAACACACAGCATCATGTATGTTGCATTGACAATGCTCAACGCAGTCCGCCGTGTTTTACTTCGACAGGCTGGAATTTGCAGACTTTCTGGCTGCACACCGAGATAAAGACCATAAAGAACCAACGAAGACGATGGAGTCAGGCGACGCACCTGCAAAATGGAGGAGCAACTCCAAGGGCATCTCGCCTCCTCCTTTGCTCCCACATCTCATTATGATCCAGCTAATGGTTAAGCCTGGTGATTACAGAGGGGCGTTGGGATGGAGCAGGTGGGAATTTATATGATAGAGCCGCATCGACTGACACCGACACAACAGTAGCGACAGAAGGTCAAGTGGATGCTTACTCCCAGAACAGGAAGCTGGCTGACGCTGTACCTGAGCACGCTGTACGGTGCTCAGGTACAGCGACAGGTAATCTTCATCAGGATGGGGTTTTAATAGGAAATAAACTGAGGTTCACAGAGACGGTTTGTATTCATTCATCTATGAAGCGATAAAGAAAGAAGAACAAATTGTTCCGAGTGGCGCAGAACTAGACTCTCGTTATGTTCACTTCTCAGGCAGTCCATTAGCCACACTTTGTTAAATCACTTGTTAAAACAAAAAGCGGACCAGCCATGTGGAAGCAACTCGATGCCTTTAGGCTTGTAAATGAAAATATAGCAGTCAGGTTCTTCCTGTGACATGAAAACTTGACAAGCCCCTGAAGTCTAACGTTTTAATATGGCTTGCTTTATATTGCTGCAAGAAAGAGTGGAAAGTAAAACTTTACTGTCTCTGCTCAGGTTACGAGCAGCTTGATTGCTCCAAATGTGGCTAAAATTCTTGGTCCCTGCTTGTCCTGGTTTGTGTGTTTCTGCTTGACAAATATTTCACCATAGTCAAAAAAACAACAACACACACACATGTAAGAGTGATGTATTTTTATATTCTTTCAACAAAAATGCAGATCAGGCACACCAATGCAATGCAGCTGTGTATAAATACGTAACTCTATTATAATGACCTGATGTGAGAAGAACGTATTCTGAAATATGGAGAGGGACTAAACAAATTAATACTTGGGGAAAAAAGCACCAGACTTATTGGAGAATCTGTGTTGCAATGTGTAATTCCAAGAAACTGTGGGGTGACAGATGTCAGCATGTGCCCGCTCCACATGCTCCCAAACCATCACTGGAATGAAAATGTCTTCCTTTTTTATCTGGGAAATGTGCATGAATCCTTGTATGAGTTCTAACCTTTGTACCGCAACCCTCACTGCATCAAACCACAAAAACAACAAACCAACGTGTGTGCATGGAGGTATTTTATGGCACACTTGTATCTGGGATTTTGTTGATTTAAGGAGGGGATTACAATGCAGTGTCAACAAAGAGTTACACAGGTAGCTGTAATGTATAAGAAGTTAAAAGTTTGTCATGAAAGCCCAGGTGCATTTTATAACTTTAATGAGTAAAAGCCTTTTGTTGGATGGATGGCCCTGTGGCTTATCTTTGCTACCCCCAAGGACTATCAAGCAGAAATATTACAAAAACCTTCACCTGGGAGACTTTGGTGCAAGACTCCTGTGAAAACACAAAGTAGTTTTAAAACTGATCATGAGACAATTTGCTCTGGGTGTCTTAAGCTGTTACTGTTCATACATTTATTCCTCATTTGCATCTATGCTGAAGATGCAAAAGGTGGAAAAGTGTGTTTAAAGATCACAGAATGCAGGACGTGCTGCAAAAAGCACCACTTGCTTATAAATAAATTGCCTTCAAATCCCAAGTAGCAACATGTGGAAAACGATGCGTAGATTACCAGAAAGAGAGTGAACAGATGTAACCCTGCTTTCTGAAAAACTTACAGTAAATAGTTTGTTGGATTATATGCTCTATTCACACATTATCTCATTTTTTCAGGAGATTTTCCTGAATGTTTTATATGCTCTGTTTTTCAGAATTGTGTTTAGTCCTGGTTGCTATTATTCCTTAATAAAGGTTAAGAGGTTAAAACTGAGCTTCTCACTGCAGTGCTCTCTAATAAAGCAGTACAAAAACTGTAATCTAAAGCACCTAAGCTGTAAAAGTTCAACCCATCTGGGGTTTCTACGTAAAGTAGCAATGTTTAACTGTTTGACAGGCGAGGATGAGAACCACTGATGAAAGGTGTGCAGCTATGCATTTTCTTCCAACAGCGTCTTGTTTCCAGCATCAATAAGACCTGAATTTGTCAGCACAGTTAAGGAAACAGAAAGGGGGTTGTCTGTATTGAGTGGAGAAGAAATGGGTAATTAGCTGCCAGCTGACTCAGGCCACTTGCAGCTTTGTGTGTCAGGCTGCGGATGGAAAAACCGATGAAGTACGTCTCCCCGCGTGTCATAAAGCTTTGCTTTATGGCCAGTTTGTGTAGCCTTGCAGATTAAGTTCAAAGAAAGGGGGCTGGTCTTTTCTCAATGCATCTTAAATCCTGCTTCTCCTCGGCTGAATCTGTAGATCAATTCTTTGTGCTCAGATATCCCTGGTGTCAGCAACTACAAGAAAGATGGGAAAACTGGGTGCCTAAAAATACATTATTAAAGGAACAATTTCACCTCCGGTTTAATACTACTTATGGAGCAGCATGACGGTTCTACTTAAATTGCATGTTTTCCATCACTCGGCTGAGGCTTTCATCAACATCATAAGCAAGAAAGCTGATAGCTACCAGTGGGGAATAGCTGCAGCCTCGGTAGGGATGTGAATGACGCCTTTTCAATGCAATGTTCACATTTAAAAGGAAGAAAATCACAGCCGCTCAGTGGTTTGTCTGTGTTTCACATGATGAGTGCCTCCTCAGAAGCTACTCCCAGTGTTAATCGCAAGACAGCGGCACCACATTAGAAGAAATGGGTCGGTGCCTGGAGACGGCACACGTCCTTCCTCTGTTTAGACACAAAGACCAGAATAAATGCTTCTCATCGCCATAAAATCTCTGGTTAGTTTGCCCTGCAGACTAACCCTGCATATTGACATTGTTCCTTTAGACATCTGAACATAGATTAAATGGATTTTGTGCTTTTGTGAGTGAAACATTAGTTAGAAGAGACTTCAGGCGAAATAAGGCCAGAACACATATAAACCAGACATAATGACAGAGGACTGCACTCATTCACTCAGGAATAATTTGTAGTTATTTAATCAAAACTCCCAAATAAATACTAGGATACAATGTGTACCCATGTCCAGCACATAACTTTGGCACTCTTACAGCCCTAAAGAAAGTTGAGATTATTATTGACGGTGAAGACAAAACAGATTTATTCACATGCTCTCAATAGAAACCTAAAGTTGGGCTTTTTAATTATTTGTAATTCCGTTTGAACAACCTCAAAAAAACTCAAAAACAATAGATGTTTTTGTTCATATTTTCTCACCATTCAGTTTTCACAGAAAGCAGAGTTTTCATCATCTATTCAATGGTTAAGTGTTCATGACGATGCTTTAAATCTGGCAAGCTCACTTCTGCGATCGTACACCCCCCCCCCGCTTCTCAGGAAGAGAACGTTTCCATCTTGCAAAACAAAAATTTTCTGACCCTTTCGCCATTTCTCTATGTTTATTTTAAATCGTCAGACAAAGCCTGTTGTTACAAAAAAAAAAAAAAAAACACTGGAGATGGTTGAAAAAATGTGTGGATAGTTTCTTTCTTTTGCAGATGGTGTTTACACATACCTCACGACGGGGGATTTTTATGTGCTGCAGAGGCATTTCATATAGCTGGAAGTGAAGGTGAAGGGATGAGGGAGAGCAACTGACTTCAGCTCACAGGAGGCGAGACATAATGCAGAAAATATGGTGTGGAAATTGCTGTTTTATTTTCAACACACTGCAAAGGGAGATGACACTCCTTGTTCTGCTGAAAATGATACTGCAGTTATCTGAAAGCATCTAAAATATTGAATGAAAGGAACATACAGTTTTACAGAAAAGCGAAGGAAGGAGCTACATTCACCAGCCTTCATAACCTTTTGCTCTGGAGGATTTGCATCTGAACATTTGCTTCTCCTGTTCAACTAGACGTTTAAATTGGGAGCTGGCTGTAAAATGTCTGCAAAGGTTTCCAAAGGAAATGTCACAGACCACTTGGGTTTTTAGAACATATCTCCTTTGTCTAAAATGTTCAAAAGGTTTGCAGTGTACGTTTTTGAATAATTAGCCTCTGACATTACAGAAAACCATTGATATTAATTCCATGTTCCTTTAAGTTGGTTTGCAGGACAGGTGGAGTCCCAACATAATGGTGAGCAAACAATGAGCCACCTTGACAGAAAACTAGTTGGACTAATGAAATACCGATCAGATCAGCGTCGACATTTTAGAATATCTAAAAGCTTGGGTTCGAAAATAAGAAACATTGCATCCCTGAACTTTTATGCAAATACAAAATTGCACTGATGCTGCATCCCACTGCTCTTGTTGTTTGTGATCTAGACCTATTTCCATCCTGGAAAAATGTCTCACATAAAATAATACGTTTTACTCCTGATTTTGCTTTGTTGTTGACATTACTCTTTCACATGATGTTCCTAAAGATCTGATGTCTTCATAATGAGCTGGTCCCAGTATTTTTTACTGTCCTGATCTGGATTATTTATCCCTATCTCTGGTCTCAGTCATGCCAGATTCTGCTACGAGTCATAATTCAATAACCACATTACAACTGATGCAATGTGAATGCACAAAATAAATTTTTGTACCATCAATATTAACTCACTTACTAATGATGTTAAGAACAGGATAGGATAATGTTTCTTGACAGGGGTAGATATTTTGTCCCAAGAGGACATTCTGCTGGATGCTTCAAATCCCTCCTTTAGCACATAGATAGCTTAAGAAAGCAAAAGTATTGCTTTCTTAAGCTATACATTTGCTTAAGAAAAACACATTTCCAATAGTTATCCAAAAGTAATTATGTAGCTTAAACATTTGTTTTTAAAAATAAATCTGGATCAAAACACACAACCTTGAGTGCCAGGCTAGCTTCTGGGTTGTTAAATTAACAAAAACTATGAGCTTGGCTCAAATCCATAACTTCACAAAGGTTGTATTTTTTTAAAACTTTGGCTAAGCAAAAACAATGTCATAGGGTTTTCTATGAGGATGCATGTAGAGAGTTGCTAATTATTTTAAAAAACGTTGACTGAGCGCCTGGGTCAAAGCCTAAGTGTTATAGGTATACAGCAGAAGTAGTAGCACCAATAGTGCATCATTCTGTTTCCAAGTTTTCTTCATGTAAAAAAAAAAAAAAAAAAAAATGGCACTTTTGACATATTTCACCAAAACTTACCAACTATAGCAAAGTATTTCAGGCATCAGTCAGGGTTCAAATGAGTTACATTCATCTCATCCGCATCTTGACAGACCATAGAGATGTTTTCTAAATAAGTAGATTTCTTGCATCATCATGTGACAGGCTGAAACGTTCTGTGCTCCACTAAACTTTGTGACAAGTTTCTGAGTTCGGCAGCAGAATGAACCTGCTTGTATCCGAGAAGAGTCAACGTGTCACGACAAAGATTCTGAACAGTTCTCACAATGTCAAAGCTGAGACGAAGCCTCCAGCTTTCCGCTGTGGCTCTGGAGTCTCTCGTGGTGGAGTATTTGTAATTCCACTCAGAGGGAGCCGACACGTTGCTGTTGGTGTTTTTCACTATCCACGTCCTCACCCTGTCTTCCATCTCCAGACCCACGAACCTGTAAATTGCAGTTGCCCCGGCATTTGGGTGAAGAGCCAAGTCCTCGTACCGCACCAGCATGTATCGTCCTCGCAGCCACGCTGGCCTCTGCAGGCCCGTTTCCGCAGAGGCAGCCATGTCCTCACAGGTGCTGGTGATCTGCGAGAGGTCCACGTATCGAGGCTGGCGTCCGGTGGCGTTCCATATTTTCCAAGCGCGAAACTGATCAGAGAACGCCATGATGCGGGAAGCGAGGATGGCTCTGGGGTCTCTCACCAGATGGATGATCTTCAGGTCCAGACGTGGATCTTCCGTCAGGGTCCGCAGGTCTCCCACCTCGGGAATCCTCACGGTTTTTATGGCTACATGTCCTCTTGACATACATGACACGGCGGCTAGAGTGAGGTTCAGAGCCCCACACTTCTTAGGACACCAGATTTCGTCAGGTGAATCAGACATCGCAGCAACCGCCCCTTCCAAACACACTGGAGGAGAACAGAGGGCATGGCTTGAGCTCCGTCGGAAAAAGGAGCTTGTGATGTGATCCTGGACTTCAGGGCGGATGTAGTTCTCCATGAAGTGAAGGTCGCAGGTGTACAGGTTTAAGAGGAGGTCTCTGTATGCTCCGAGCAAGGCCCGGCGGTCTAAAGTTCGACGCAACCTGCTGCTGGAGTTGGTGAAGGCCTGCTGGACGTGGTAAAGGGGCTCAAAGACATAGAAGATTCTGGGATGCTGGTTGAGTAGCTGTCCGGTGAACGAGGAGCCGCTGCGCGTTGTCGCAAAAAGCAGTATATGCTTCTGAGGCAACTCGACGGGCATCCAGCTGTCATCGCACAAGGCAGCCCATCTGGAGTCTTGAGCAAGGATAAGACAAAGACGAGTGCTTTCAATACTATCGTCATTCATACAATGTTTTAAGAACAGGCTTTAAATAGCTTATTCCAGAAAATGCTGCAATCATTACTTTAAAGCTGTGTGAAAATGCGGTTCGTTTCAGAAGACCAACTTTAACTCATAAATGTGAACTGCAATATTCTGTATTTATTCCTGGAAAACTACAGATTAAAGCCAATAAAGTTTAAATTATTTAGCGCAAACATCCAGGAGACTGATGGCGGTTTTCAAGGGCGGTTTATGAAATAGTAGATTTCTAACAGTAGAGCCAAATAACTAATGTGCAATTACTGCTGATGAAGAGTTGATTGCGAAAGGATTTTTTTTTTTATTATTCAGGAGCCTGTCGCTGGCAAGTTACATCTGTGCAGTGAGAGTGTATTAATGGTGGTAAATGGGAGGATAATTGCAAGATAAATAATGCATTTTTGATATTATTTTCTTTTCTCCATTTACAGGGAATACCCATTTTCAGTGCTCAGATTTCCTTTTTATTTTGCATCTATGACAGCACTGATGTTAAAGCCTATTTCTAAAAGTTTTTGTTGAAATTATAATACTACCAATCAAGTATTGAATGTTTTTCTGTATCCCCAGCTGATGTATTTCAGGGGTTCGTCTTTTCAGAAAATGCACTTTTAAAGGGGCTATTGATATGCAATTTACACCAGTACTCAGTTGCAAACCACGTAACCCACACACCCGATGAAATCAAGATAAATATGCCCATAAAGTTACTGTGGAATGACATGCTAAATTAGTATTGAAGTAAATTAAGAAAAGAAATGGCCAAAAGGCACAGAAAACTAAGAAAAAACATTCCCCTCAGGTTTAAAATTTCAATTTCAGTTTGAAATGTTAAAACCAGGAGAGAATATGAAAGTCAATTGGTAGATTTCCAGAGAGGACCCGAAGAAGAGACACAAAAAGTAAAACCGTAATGGAAACTGTTTCTGACATATAGTATGAAGTAAAAGTCAGTAGCACAACTTAGATATACTGACTGAGCAAAATATTGTCCTATTTAATAATTATTATCTCTGTTATATGTTCACACTTTTTAGACTTTAGCAAGACTTTAATGCGCCATCCGATGGTACCTCTGTGGTATCTGCTCCTGCAGCGGTAGGCTCTCTGACAGGGTCCAGACATCGAGTCCCTCAGGGTCCGGATAGCCGTGTACTGGACCCCGAGAGACGCGCACACCAGCAGCAGCACCGTCTTCCAGGAGCACTCCATCCTGCCCCCACCTCGGGCTCTACATCCTTCACGCTGGCGCCGCAGGGAAGACACGGGAAAAGACACAAAATTAGATTTTATTTTGATGGCTTTTTTTTTCTTCTCCAACCTCTTGCGTGCGTTGCTCCCGTAGAGTGACACCTCCAGGGCACTTACTGATGGTCTTCAGAGCAGCTCTTATTGGAGTTGTTGGGATTATTGCCCAAAGGCACTCCCTTGTCAGACATTTGCATAAATGTTTAACATTTTCTTTTCTACTATGTATGCCACATTATTCCAGTCAGTCCAGAATGCACACTTTAAAGGCATGCTCTTCTCTGACAAAATGAAATAGCTTGTCACTGCATTAAATATTAAACAACCTATTTGCATGTGGTGGCAGCTGACACATCTAATGGCAGAAATATTTTAGCCTTCCGGACCTAAAACTAAACTGTGTGCCATTTATTAGGAAGAAAACAGACTGTAAAATGTTTTATCTACAGGGAAAGAGAATAGGTTAGCAAAAGTTTCCATTTATGGCAAACTGTGGTTTGCAAAAGATTTAGGTCCCATTTTAAAACAAAAATATGTAAGTAACTAAACCCCATGTTCCCAAATGTCCTTATTGTTGACATAATTTCATTAGTATGGAATTTACCATTAAATAAAATACTTTTTTGGGCTTTTCTCTATGTTATACCATAAAATGTGTATAAAGTTCTTTGATTCAAAAATCAAAACAAATTTCCTTTCACAAATAAGGAAATTATTTGTGAAAGGAATAATAACAATAGAAGTTTATCAAAATTACTGAGAAACTTCTACCCAATTTTTTAAGGGTAGGTAGCTTTTGCAACGTAGCAAGAGTTTTATTTCGTTGTATTTTCCTTCCATATTAGCAGTATGCATTGCTTTGTCTTGGTCTGTCACATAAAATCCGAATAAAAGACTTTGTGAGTGTAGAGTGACACAAGAGGCAACGGTTCAAGTGCATCAGGAGGACTTTAACTAAATGTAATCTACAAACAGCTTAACATCCGTGTCATGAAATCTTGACCCAGACTTTCATCTGGAGAACATAGCAGTGCTGGTTCCATCTACAACAGCCCCACAATTCAGGACACTTTGCATACTGTTGCATAATTGCTATTCATCTTTACTTCCCCCTCTTCTGGGTAATTAAGCCTCTGAGCCCATCAGAGAACAGCATACTAGGATAAATATAGCTGTCTTCTTGAGTGGAGAAGTTTCCTTTGTGTGCTTCCGAGATTTTTGCCACTGGCCATCAAAGAGCAAAGGAAGATGTGATTTTTCCAGATGGAGTTACTCGAGAAAAAAGCTGCCATCCATCCATCGGTGCATGCGGCAAACCGATGGTAGATAATTACGTGATCACGGGGTGCAAACTGTCCCTTCATCCCTCAAAAGTGGCTTTACAGGGGCAATCATTAACAAAACCCCAGGTAAGTAGCCTCTATATCACATTAGTGACTAAAATAAATGTTCCCCTCCTACTTTTTTAGCCTCCTCACCCTCGTTCCGTCTCTCTTCAATCTGCTTCTTCTTCATTAATGATGTTTATGTGTCCCTGGCAGACTCGTATCCTCGGGAATGTATCACACTGAGCTTTTGATGTTCCATTAATCACAAACAGCACCGACTGAAAGACGTTTACTCTGTGGGTGAGGGGAAGCTGAATCAAGCTGACATCATGAGACATTCTGTTTGAATACAGTTTAAAAAAAGAAAAAAAAAGAAAAACAGGGAACGAACTCATCAAGGGGAGAAACTTTCTCAGACTAGATGCTGCAGACAGACAGGAAGGCAGGAACGCAAAGTACTGGTGTGTAGTTTGTCACTTTAAGAAGCAGGACTGGCTGACAGAGTTGGCAGAGGCATATAGGGACTGCATGAATGGGTACAAATAATAAGAACCTTTGACCAGGCTTTTTACACTTAAAAAAAAAAAAAAGAATTCAACAGCTCTGCCATCCACATCCAGTTTGTACTGCACAGCTGGCTGACCGAGGCGCATCATCAAATTCCTCTGCGGCAGGTTTTGTTTTCCTTTCCAGTCGTGTTTAGGGCTCAGAGCTTTGTTTCTCCTCACCCTGCTGCCCTCCGGAGAATCAAAACAGACGCCTCAATAGATTTGATTTGCAAGTCCCCCTGCCTGCCTGTCTTATGACTCCCCCAGCAAACGGACATTTGCGTTAGAAATAAGCTCCGTCAACAGCTGGAAGGGGGGACTGCAGGCTCGGCTTTTTGTATCCCTCATAAAATAACAGCTCTTACAAGGGATGAGAGCCACAGGGACGGGATCAACTAAAGATTATGCTGTGTGGTGCACGTTCCTTAGGCAAGTTTGAGTTGTAAATTCAGTGAGCGCATTTGCTGCAGCTGCTGAGATAACACAGCCAGCAGCCAGAGCGCTGTGGCGCACGGTGTGAGGAAGGTAATTGCCTCTGTGGAAAAACAAAAGCAACAAATGAGGTTAGAAGTTAGTGATGAAGGTGGGACTGAGGGATTTGGGATCCGGCTTATTGAGGGATGGGGACAGAGCCATAGATTTTTCTATTAGGGGCCCCTCGGAGAGTTCACACATCCTCAGAGCGGGGCTGTTTATTGGTGAAGGCTGATGATCAATCCTCGAAAACACAGAGGGGCTGAGCAACAGCAGCAGCTACAGCAACACCGGGAGCCCACGGCTGCTCTTTCTTGCTCTGTCCTCCATTTATCAATCTTATTTTTCTCCAATTTTTCTCTCTGTTTTAACCAATTTCTTACATATAGAACTGCAGCCAGCAAGATGCATGTGACCCCTTGGCTACATGAGGAACTCCTGTGTGGAGAAAGGATTAATCTTGTTCAACGTAATTCCTAAACCACACAAACACACACACACACACACACCCCCACACACACACACACACACACACACACACACACACACACTCACACATAAGGAGAGAGCAAAGGCAGTGGGGTGGAAGATGAGAAAATGAAGAAAAAGGTCAACTCTCATCGTGTCTTGTCCATGACAGCTTTGCTTTTATAGGCTGCTGGATCAGGACTGGAGGCTGTTCTCATAAATTCAGTGCAAATAACCGTTTCACTCTGTTTTAGTAAAAATAAAAAGATACACCAATGAAGCATAACATTACGACCATTGACACTTTAAGTGAATTACACATGTTTGAGCTAAAGCAGGAAGAAATGGATGAGCGTTAGGGCTGGAACAAGTTTGACAAGAGCCAAATTGTGACGACCGCATTGGGTCACAGTATATCCAAAAATCCATGAGTGCAGTGGTCATGGTTTGCAGTGGGAGCTGACGTTTTACTTGAATAGACCCTAAGAGAGCCCTGGACAATAAAGAAGTTGACAAAATCTCTGAATGTCAACCATTTTCCTTAAAAAAAAAAAAAAAACACAGTGAAACTGCACTTATAAAAGCAACCAGTGAGAAGGTGCAACTCAAATGGCAATCTTAGCTAGATGTAGCACTATCTGCAGCATAACATTCGTTTGGGTGATGAGAACTGAAATTAAGAAATGTCAGGCGTTCAGGCCAACCCACACCGCTGCTCTGGGGTTAGTGAGCCACATCACGCAAAGCAAAGATGACCAGTGCAGGGGTCAGTATCCATCAGAGGTGACCAAGGAAGTGACACTGCTTCCTTCCAGGCTAATTTATGCATGTGGGTGCAACAGACCAGTCAACATGCCTATGTTGAATACTCCACCACATAAAGAACTAACCATCTTGCATTAAAAGTTGCTGACAAGGTCTGGGGAATCTTTTTTCCAGGTGTTTTACTGGGGGGAAAAACATCATGGGGAGGAAGCAAGCGGCCGATGTTCTGCGGTAAAAAAAAAACAAACCCTTCAGGTCCTTCCATCCATGAGAACCTGGGGTTTTAAACGCACCACAAACTCAGAGCAAACAATCGTCACTTTTTTTTCAGTAAAGTTGCATTAGTGGTTGAGGCAGCTTTCAGACTTTTTGCCACAAAACCAAAAACTCTTCAGGAATCGTTGGAGGAACACAACGACCAATCCATGATCCCTGGATGCGCTTGAAAAAAAAAGAAAACAAAAAGTAACATCTTGTCTCCAGACACCAAAATCATCTTCAGATGTTCGGTCCTGTTGTTCATAATGATAAAGGATTAAAGTTATGAAGCCACTTTGTAATGCAACAGCGCTGGAAAACGAATATGCCAGCTGTCCGCTGGTAATATAAATATAATAATAAACCAAAAGTTAATAATTAACATCCACAAAAAAAAAAAAAAACATTTTGCGTATTTACTGATGTTCTACCAACTCGCTGTCTGACTTCAGTCTCTGCTTTCTGTGCGTAAACGAGCAAGATCTGACAAAAATAAAGACAAAAAAGAAAATAAATCACCGTACCATCAGCGCTTTCAGTCAGATGTTGTGTTCCTCCGGCCAGTCCAGTCCCGGGGTTGTGCATTTGCAAAGCTGCGTGACTGCGTGTGTGTGGGAGTGTGTCAGTAGCCACCGGTGTCCGGAGCCCAAGTGTCGGAGACGCGCCACGGATGGAAAGCGTCTGGGAAAATAAGCATGTGTAGCCCGCCCACCCCTCCAGAGACCGGAGAGACTTTAGCAGCTGAGACATCAGATTGGATGAGAGATTACTCCCCCCTTTCCTCTCCTCTCCGTGCATTACGGCTTCTTGGCTGAGCTGCGCTTCATTACGCCTAGAGATGCATGCGAACCAGAGAAGTAACCTACATAGTGAACAAACTCTGACTGCTGTGATGTGAGAGAGAGGGAGAGAGCGCTTTCCACACATCGCAACCTGTAATTTAAGTGGTTTGCAGGAACGGGAGGACGTGATATTTTTCATATCGCCTGGAGGGAGCCTTCATCAGCTCCAGCCAAGCATCGACAATCAGTCCAGCATCCTACCAGCATCCGTCCCTCCGCAGGGACTCAGCTTGCCCCGCACACATATATAAACACTTCATCCCGTGGGGCTGCGGTGACACAATGACCTCTATTTTTCTCATTTCAGTGAAGATGACTGCTATCATCAGATAAGGCCCCCTCCTCACTCTGCTGCCCACTCTCCTCTCCACCCTGGTGGAGGGATGGGCAGCATATCATTGCCCCTCTGAGGGTTACTGTGGGGTCAGATTTAGCCAGTGACAGCTCCATTACTCCTGGAAATGTGGGTGGATTCTGTTTGCAGCCTTTCAGATTTATTTCCCACCGAGACAGAGTCACATTGAAAAGGCGTGCCTTTACGGAAATTTGAGGAATAATGTATCTGTTGGACCCCTCGGTTGCATGGACCATCCAAAACCTTCACATTATATAAACCACAGAAAGCTAGAAATTATGGTTGTTCAGCTCAGTGTGGGGTGGAATTACTGCAAGTCATAAGGAGACATTTGGGGCAACTTCAGCCACTTCTCCATTGTCAAGTGTCACTCCAGTCGGTCGATGTCTGATTCAGGCAAAGGACAGTGTCTCATTGCAGGCAGTGACATCATTAAACTTGAGCGGCCAGTTTCTCTGAAATCTTTGTATTTTACTCCAAGTGTTGTTTCCTGAATAATAATAATTACAGATTTGCACGATTCCAAAAACTGCGTCTAATTAGGAAAGGCATCAAAGTCACATGTACGGAAAAACGGCTTTAGATCCCCCTGATGGAGCCCAATGACATTTGAAAAGATGTATAGACGAAGTGGTTCATGAAGTAGTTTTCATTTCCTGCTATAAATATTTTCAGGTTTCTAGTTGCAAGTAATTGCAGCCCTACTCCATTTCATTTGAATTGAATTCAACGGAAACCTGTTTCACAAATTTTCACTTTTGTGAATTTACTGTTGGTTGATTGCTGAACTAAAACAAGTTGTAGTGAACACCAAAAATCATTAATTAATATTATCAAAGTCACATTACCGGTGCTGTGGTAGCTGGTGGACAATGAGCTTTGATGTAATTTGATCAAATTCTGACCAGGACCTTGGACCAGCTGTGCAGGCTTATTTTTTTGTTTTTTTTTGTGCTTTTAAACACTTTGTTCTGAAATGAAATAATTGGCAATCCAGAATATTCTTCCTTCTTTCAGGCCATACAAGTTAAATATAACAGAAGGGTAAAAAAAATTACCTCTGAAATTGGAAGAAGAGAGGATGGAAAGTCTTCCCACGCAGGTAAAGAGCAGCAAGCTTTTTCTGGTGCCCGAGGGTGGAGGCACATTACCAGTTACAAAGGACGACAAGCTGCCAAGAACACCCAGTGAGTGATACAAAAGCGGAGCGTCCTCCTCCCCTCTTTTTGCTGATTCCACCCCTCTGTCAGCCTACAGTATAAATTCCCAGGTTCTGAGCGGCCAAACGCCCCCACTCCTTCTTGGTGAGATTTGAGGAATAAGTTGAAAATTCCTGCAAGCGAGCGCTGAATCCTCTGTGGGCCTCCCCATTTAGATATGCCCGCATTTGTTCTGAACGCAGAGATATAAAGAGCACATACTCGGATATGCATACGCTGGCTTGAAGGAGTACAGACTACCTTTCATACTGCTTAACAAATGTTTCATCAATCTACATTTTCTTAGATTCACCCCTGGATCTATTTTAAACATGACAGAAGTATCTCATCTTCTAATGGATGGGAATGCTCCAGTGCATTCTCCGCTCCCGTAAAAAGATGCAATCCGTTTAGTCAGGCTGTCACGAGGGGATCCGGCTCTTGCAAAGTTCGCCAGCGGAAGAAAGCTGCTGATCCTCTGCACTTCATCTAATTTCACAGCACCGAAACCACGGCCCCTTTATTCAGGCCTTCCTTGCTGCTTGCAGAGAGCAGGTGAAAGAAATCTCATTTTAGATACTCATGTGCCAACAGAGACGACTAAATTTAATTCAGCAGTCCACAATGGAGGACTGTCTCTGCCTTCGGCTAGTATTTGATCAAAAACAGTAGGAACCGCTGTAATTGCACATCATTGTTTTAATCAAAGCCAACGATGAGGACATTGATCCAGAGAGCAAGAAAGCTGCCAGCAATGCACAGATTATTAACGAAAGTAAACATAAACATAGTGTATCTCATATATAGCTAACTCCAGCCTGAAATGCTTCTGTTTACTCAAAGATATTGTTTTATTTGGTGAAGTCCGTCATAATAGCGGAGAAGCTGCTGCCTAGAGAACTCTGGACTGTATGATTCACATCATTTTCTTACTAAGTAAACCCTTCATGGTCCCCTCAGGCATTATGGATGCAGACGATGTTGTTCCTGTGAGTATAAAAATGTTTAATCACGGGGCAAGGTTGTTTATCATAGGGCGTTGTTTTCAAATTGAACTGAATCAGATATTAAAAGGAAAGACACATCTTCATGTGAGATGTACAAATAACATAGCTAAATACACATTAAGATGCAGAAAGGGTAAACGATCCAAGAGGAAGGAAAGGCTGGCTGTTTTTTTTTATCACAGTTAAATGTTTCAGACAAAGATAACCCATGTATATTGAAATTTACATTTGCAAATGATGATTTTAATTGCACCAGCCCCGGCACTGTGTAGAAGCTCAAGTTAGAGCCTCCTGCTAATTGAATTCTGATACATTCGTGACTCCAGCAGCTTGACAGCTTCTTCAGGTGCTGAAGCAGCAAAGCTCCCCAACACTTTCACACTATCACCATCCTATTATCACTAACATGTTTGAATAGTAAGTGACTTGTAGTTGTGCAGCGTTTCAGCAAAGCTCTTTCAGACACACACATTCACACAAAGTTTGCCGATGGTGGCAAGCTACTAGACAGGCTGCGACGCGCCTTCGCCCTCTGACAACCACCAGCAGTGAAGGCAGGTCAAAGGTTAAATGCTAAGTTTAGTTGGGGTTATCTGCCATTTTCTTTCAACCAGTAAATTTCTGTTTTCTGACCACCTAAGGAGGTCAGCATTGCACTTTTGTCATTTTCTGGAGTTATGTAAAATGGGGGGATTTTTGAATTATTTTGGTCTTGGAAATTCTGAAATTCATTTCTTCCCTTTTGATAAGGCAGAGGTGAAATCTTGAATTTATCAAATTAACTTTTTTTTTTTTACACTGAACCACTGAAGACATACATCTAAAGACCTCTACTGTCACAACACATCATGAAGTTGTGACCGACAAAGGGAGACCAACTTCATGATCTGGGTTGCTTTTATAAGAAATGTTTTTTACATATTTAATAAAACTGTCACCATGTTGTGACAGTTTAACATTAGACAGATAATCTGTGAACAGATTGATTGCCTCTTTCCTATGCTGCTATTTCTGCCTGAAGAAATGCACCGCTTCCAACCGCAAACAACCAGCCAGTGCCAGATGGAGTGTCTTAGTATTGTCAATCATCCTTGTGAACATGCTGCTAAATGTGCTGATGGTGAAGAGACACCTTATTGTGAAAGAAAAAACCCTGAATGCCGTTGTGTTAACATTTCTCCCAACAGGCTTTGCTGATGGGGAGCAGCTGTATGATAGCAAAGAGCAAAGGGGGAGAGAGGGTTGAGCAGCACGCGAATGGACATGACTGACAGCGCTAAGACCCTCCTTCTCGTTCTGACTGCTTGTTCTAGCACTGGGAGAACTGGGAAAAAGCAGAGCAGCTAAAATTTTGTCACAGATCATCTGTCTCACACTATACTGTCTCAACATAGTGATGGTTTCAATAAATATGTAAAAAAATAAAAATAAATAAAAACTTCACATACTGCAGCTTTATGGGATTTCTTGATTCAAAGTAAGGCATTAAAGTATAAAGAATGTGGTCACTCACTGTTAATTTATGCATTAATAATAAAGATAGCTTTTTGTTTCAAAGTACTTTCTTTTCCTTTAGGAAATAAAATAATTATTTGTGGGCTGCATCATGTATTTATTACGTTGGATTGCATTTGTTTAATAATCTGAAACATTTAAGTATAACAGAAAAACTGAAAACAGGAAAACCTTTAAGGGGGGCAAATACTTTATCTTGTCAATGTAATTGAATCTATTTTACTTACTTTACAACTTTGCTCTTCACACACAATTAGACTTTGATTAATGTAAGTTTTTAGTTATATGCATTGAAGATCCAGCCATTAACAATCTGAAATAATTAAGAGGCAGAAATCATTTTCCCTTTCATGGTTTATTACTTTTAGATCTATATTGACTTTAACTGTTGATTTTAAGACGTTTTCCGGGATTTACTCATAAGTGTGTTTCAAGAAACGTGGCCATGTGACGCCGATAAATAATATATATCAACTGGCTCTTCAGAGGAGCTGACTGACCCAAGCAGGGAACAGAATGGAAATTTGGTGTAATATAAATTCTTTAGAAAGTAACATACAATCAAACTCAATTATACATGAAATTTGTGCATTTTTTTTTTTTTGCTGCCGCCACATTTTTCTAAAATATGCTTCAGTACCAAGAGAAATAATATAATATGCAAAAGCAAAAATCACAGTTTTAAAGACTTTATTTACCTGTATGAAGTGGAAGGAGGGGATAAAGTGGCAATGAGTGGGTAAAATAGACATACAAATGACAGAAGTGATCCAAACAAGATTATGTGGGACTGGGGCTACGTTCAGTCGAGGTTGTCTTAAA